TGATTGCTGAGAGTACATGGAATTACGAGGTGTGATATGATTTATATGCTTTGAGGAAATTTGGATCAGACAATTATTTTTGTCCATTTTGTTCCTTTTCTTCTTCGATTACCGATTCATATTTTATACTCTGATTATGCCATAATTAGACCAAAATGTTGATTACTGTAAGTATCAAAGTCCCTTTGTACGGCAGAGATATTTCTTTTTAATCCTCTAGATTTATATATTTGGTAATTGCAATGAATATTGAGCAAATTTTTAAGAAAATCCATCTTTTTAGGGTTTTCCTTAGCAAGTGCTCCCATTTCCGGAATTTGCTAACTGTGCCTTTTTGTCCTAATACTTGAAATACCTCAACCCATCTATATATATATATTTTTTTCTCTTTTTTTCTTTTCTTATGGACCTATCCAAATATAATGTTTTTTCACTGCCTCATAATGTTTTCCACAATATCATAAAAATGCTATAACATAGAAAAAAAAACTATAATATAGTGTTTTTTTGTATTACATTACAATGTTTTTCTACTATTGTTGAAAATACTATAACATAATATGTATATATATATATATATATTTAGTTTATAGTGTTTTTTCTTGATATTGCTAAAAATACTGTAACATAGGGTAAAAACATTGAATCGGTCAAATTAATGGTATCCCAAGTATTAGGTAAAAGAGACCTTATTAAGGAATTTCAAGTATTAGGTAAAAAAAAAAAAGAGATACTAATTGTATTTGTTTTCTGTTGTTATTTAATTTTTTTTCTGGAAAAAGATTTTTTATTATTATTATCATTTAATTTTAATGTTTGCTTCGAGTAAGAATAAATATGACATCAGGCGCATGGCATCACACTGGTGGTCGTGAGGTTTCCATCCTTCCAATTTGAGGCGTTGCATCCAATCATTCAAACTATCTTTTAATATTCTTATCGTCGTAAAGCTATCGATGCGAATTACAATTTTTACTAAAATGCTAAAATCACGGGTGTTCGAGCGAGTTCGGGAACAGGAAAAGTTGTACATCTCGTGTTGCGGGTCCCACACGACGAACGCCAACACCTGTCGATGCAGCCAATGGAAAGGCGCTCTTCCCTGAACGGTGACTCGGACAAGGCAGGAAAACGACCATCCTTTCTTTTACTCGTGGCGGTCAAAGCCCGAGGGGCGCCTGCCACTTCGACGTACTTGTCAGGTTAGAGGTCACATGACTAATCCGACGAGGATGTGGGTCCCAGATGCCAGATTTAGCCTTGTCACGCCACGTTTGAGGTGGATTTTCCAGATCCGGCGCCTTGGGCTGTGACACCTCATCACGTAGGATACGGTCTCGTAAGCATTATAAGTATGCTGGTTTGGGCTCTTTTTGGGTGCCTTCCGTCGCCGCGTCGGACGCTCTCCTCGTTATCGAAACCCTAGCGCGCTCAGATCTCTCGCTCGGTGTCCAGGTCAAGCTCTGACTTGTTGCCATCTCGCCATCCACCTCCTCCGCCTCTCCCGTCATACTTCGCTGGAGCGCGTCCACCTGTGGTGATTAAATCTCACCCTTGACCCCGATGGGTTCGCCCAAGGAGAAGACGAAGACCACCATCATTTCCTCCCCAGCCTCCGCCCCTGCCAAGACGCTGCCGAGCGCCTCTTCCGAGCCCACGCAAGAACCACCAACTCCGATCCCGCCGGCGACTACATCTGTCCTCCCCGAATGGTCCGCCTCCCTTCAGGCTTTCTACGGCCGCGGAGCCGCCGCCATGATGCCCCAAGCCTTCTACCCCCCACCCCCCATCGCTGCCCCGCAGCCTGTCGTTTGGGGAGCCCAGGTTCGTTACTTTCCTTTCTGTCGGTGGGTTGGTGGGGTTGCAAGCGAAAATAATTGTATCGTCCATCATAAAGAAAAAAGATTGTTTTGCAAACCTTGATTGTTTTGGGTGATTGAACAACCAGCAAGTGATGCCGCCCTACGGCAGTCCGATTGCTTACGCTTCGTTCTACCCACACGGAGGTTTTTTTGCTCAGCCCCCGATGAATGCGGTAAATCTATTTTGAATCTCTTTTCTACCTTTTATCCTCCTTACCGTTGTGTTCAAATTATAATTGGGTTCTCGATCGAGGGTAATTACTGTTACGGGTCTTAGGCCATGGCTTACCGCACCCCGGAAACACAAGGAAGGCCCCCGGAGGCTAAGGACAAGCAAATCACAAGCAAAGGGACTTCCAAAGATGGAGGGGAATTGACTGGAAAATGGGGGAACGGTGGTAAAGGAACATCTGGTGCTGCTGAGAATTCCTCACAAAGGTTAGCTTTACTAGTTGAATTCATGCTAGTTGTAAATTTTGTTGAAATTTCTGTTATTTTGCGCTTTTGAGCAGCGATGACAGTGCCACAGAGGGGTCATCAGATACTAGAGAAGACGGTAGCCAACCAAAGGTAAGCAAGTGGTCTGTTGGCTTCTGGCTAATCAGTTTTTGATAGTTAACCTGTCGCCTTATTGGTGTTGACACTAGGGACCACGTAGATTCCTTTTAAGATTTGCACCTCTAAAATAAATTCTTTTGTGTTACATGCTGAATTATAGGACTCCTATTTTTTTTTCTTTTGCATGCCTCTCTTCATGCTTATGTGGTTGAGCACCACTAAACGTACATTACGTTGATGATGCTATTGCTTGGCATCCTTGTTTGTCACGTGAATGGGTACTTTATTCATCAACACTAAGCTTTCTCTAATATTTAGGATCATTCTTTAGCCAGAAAGAGAAGTTATGGAAACATGATTGCAGAAGGTAAGTCTCGTGTTTGATGATTATTCTTCACTGATTTGCAATTTTGCGGTGAAACTCATTTCTACTGGTTTTGCTCAGGTGAAGCTTCTCATCCGCTCGACACTGCTGAACATAGTGGTGCTAATGCTGAATCAACTTATAGTGGAAGGTCGCGGACTGCCAAAAAGCTTCCAGTCTCAGCCCCAGGAAGAGCAACATTACCTGGTTCCCAAACTAATTTGAATATTGGCATGGACTTTTGGGGTGCTACCCATGCTGGATCTGTACCTATGAAGGTGATGGGATCAATTCTGGACCACTAATGGTAGGACGTGAAGAAGTCATGCTTGACCAGATGTGGATCCAGCTTATTATGCTAAAAGTCTATGCTATCATGGACAATGTTACATGCTGTGTTTAACTTCATATCTGTGTAGTATCTATCTTGCAACAAAGATATTATTTATCCATATGATTATCCTCTCTTTTCTTTTATTTTGATTTTTCCGAATTAATTCTTTACTGATAAGTATTGTCTTGCCAGGATGACCGTGAACTGAGGAGGGAGAAAAGAAAACAGTCTAATAGGGAGTCTGCTAGGAGGTCAAGGTTAAGGAAGCAGGTCTGCTTTTGGCAAATCAAACTTATGTGCAGAAAAAGAAAATGAAAAACTTAACTCTCTTTATGTTCTTAACTTTTACTTTCTATTTTCTTTAGTTAATAGCAATTTTACTGGATGTAGATATGTGGTTTATAATTCCTATTAAGGTGGATGAGGGGATTTGACTAGTTTGGTTAAGTAGAAAGTACATGTCAAATTGTTGGACTTGAATGACTTGATGGGAGTGCACAGTTTAATGTTGTTGATATGCCTAAAGTGGCTAAAATTAAAATTTGTTAGCAGTAAGAATGATGTGTTATATCTATCTATTCTCTTAATTTTTTTAACAGAACGATCCAGGGGCTTGACCTTTCTTCATAAGAATTACCTGGCTACTTGCTTGTATCAAAGTATAAAAATTCGAAAGTATGGTTCATTTTGTTTGAATTGGTAAATTTTGGTTTTTGCTAATATTTTATGTACTTGTTAAAGGAAAGATGATTATACTGTTAAAATTCTTATCATGGAGATTCAAAAAATGCTTTCAGGTATTCTGATTGATTGCAAGCAGATAAAGCATTATAGTATCTATTTTTTTTTCTTCCTCTCTTTTCCATGTGTTATCAGTTCTCCAACTTTATGTCCAGTCACATGGATATTTCATTTACCTCCAGATGGTACACGCCACTAGTTGGTTCTTGTTCTAGACCAATTACATAGGTTTTTTGTTGTTTCTCCATTTCTCCCATTTCTTTTTCCCGAGTGATTCAATTGGTATTATCTTTGTAGGTGCATATTTTTCTCTTTTCCATGTTTGATCAGTTCTCCAACATTTTGTCCAGGTGCATGGATATTTCATTTATCTCCACATTATATACACCACTAGTTGGTTCTTGTTCTGGACCAACTCGAATGTTCTCCTGTTGTTTCTCTATTGCTACCATTTTAATTCTTTTTCTTGAATGATTCAGTTAGTATTATCTTTTAAGTCCTTATGATTTTCCTTTGGTGAATTCTTGGACACAATGTTTTCATAGTTTCTTTTGTGGATTGACAATTTTGTCTTGTCGATGTGAACCTTTAGCCAGACTGCCAGAGTATGAAATACTGACTTTGACTTATACAACAAATTGACCGAAACTATGATACATGAATTTTTGTGGTTGTTTCTGGTATACCTGGCTGCAGAATGCTTTTATTACATCTTTATCATTCACTTAGCAAACTTCATAAAATAATTTAAGCGAGTCTTTTTATTGTGAAGTCCTTATAAGTCTCTTGCCAGATAAGTTACAATCTTGAAAGAGTCCTAAATGTAAGAACAATGTCTGTTGTAATTAATGTAGTCTGGTTTTGGCTGAACTAGTCATCTTGATGTAAATATTAGTTTATTAAATGATGAGAGTACCATTCAAATGTTGCACAAATACTTATGTCAACATTATTAACTACCTGCTACTGTTTATCGGAGTTGATCCTAGTGTTTAGCGGGACAGAATTATCCCACTTCAACGGTTGTCGATGTTTACCACTTAATTGTTCTTCTTTTAGGATGATTCATCTGTTTCTCTTCAGAAATATAGAGAACTATACTCTTTCATTACATTGTAAACTCTGGTTTGGCAGATAAAGGTCATTAGTTTTCTGTTCTTTTCATTAGCTTTTCTTCTTTTCTAATGTCTGTGGTTATTACTTGTTGGCGAAGGGTCTAGTTAAATGTTTACTTGGTTATTGAGTTTTGTAATGTGTTCTAATCATCAATGACACTTCAAAGGAAGTTCTTTTACATAGATAATGCTCTTGTTTAGAGTATGGTTGAGGGATATTTACATTGTTTTCATTTAATGACTTTATAAATTGATTAATGTACCCTTTCTGCAGCACTCTTTTAGGTGTTAGTGCTTTTATGGTTATAATTGCTGTTCTTGCATTTTCTTAATTGATGATATAATGGTTAGTGGCTTATACAGGAAGAAGTATTTTGTTTTTATTCTTTAAATGTAGAGTGAAATAGCTGCATGGAGTTGATTGTAGATAGCGTCAGATCATTACCATTGACAGCTCTCTTTCATCATCCTCTGTTACAGCAAGAATGTGAGGAATTGGCCAGGAGAGTGACTGATTTGGAGAGCGAGAATAGTGCACTCAGAGTAGAAATTGAAAGTCTCAAGAAATTGCGTGGGGAACTGAAAGCCGAAAATAAATCAATTATGGTTAGTTGTTTTATTACATGTATTATATATTTTGGTATGGCTGTCATTTTACATGTTGACATGGAATAGGTTCAGTTTTTATCCAGTCATGGTTTTTGCTGGTCTGATCCAAATTGTGTATAATTAATCTAGGATTGTTTGCTACTAGTATACCTGAACTATTCTTACGGATCAGTTATGGGCTGCAAAAAAGGTTAGGTTCATAGGTTTTGAATTTTCTAGTTTTTAAGTGTATAATCTAGTTATCTCCTAAATATCATTAAACATTCAATAATTATGGTATTGATCAGGTATCTTTCAACCAGATTATTGTTGTGTGTGGAATGAATGCAATGATCGTTTGTTGCTATGTGCTCACAGTTAACATGTGGGGATGGACATGACTTTGTACTGGATCTTTGTAACTGTATGGTGTAACCAGAATATGGGCAAGCAATGCTTTCTGTTTATAAGATAATTTGTTATCGGTGGTTTCTATGTCCATATACATTGATGCACCTTCATTACATTCTCATTCACGACAGTGAAATCTTTTCACTTTTGGGAGGGACAAATTGTGTTTATATGATTCATATGTGATATACCCCTTCTTCAGTCCCATAATAATGTTGTTTTTTTATATACATCGGTTCTTTTGCTGCATGGCCGAGTATCAAATAGGACTGATTGCTCACAACAAAGCTAGGGCTGGTTAGGTCGTCGACGATCCAACTTAACTAAATTGGCATCTCGTTTCCTCAATCATCTTTTGTTATTTTGGAGTTGATTTTATTAGTAATTCTCGTTGAAAAATTATACTTTGACAGAGTAGTTTTTTTCTTGCAATCTGGCTGCGGAGGTGTGCTTCCTATTTAGTTTCAGTAAGCAAAATGTATTAAGCCTTGTGGTTGCATTGCATTAGTTTGATTTTGTTTTTGTTGGTGCATTAGTTAAATCATGAACAGAGCCCTTAATATGTACACTGAATAAGTCTCTATCATGTATTCCCCCCCTTTTTTTGGTAGAATGCTTGTGTTGGACATACATTACTGTCTATTTAGCTTCCCTATGATGTGTCTATTGTTTATGATGTAATTTTGACCTTCTTTACTGGAACAGGAAAAACTGAAACAAAGATATGGGCCTGAGAATTTTTCCGAGCTGGGCATCAGCATTGACCCATCAAAGCTGGAACCGGATGGTGCCAGTGGTTGACCTTTTTCTCATCCATGTCTGATTAGTTCTAATTAGTGTAGTGGGCTTCCAGAATCCTCGGTTTGTTCCATGTCCACTCCACTGGCCTTGGATCCTTGACGCTTTTTTTGTTTAAGGAGAGGGTCCACATATTCTGGATATACTTGGGAAGATCAAACTGAAGCTGTAATCCTTTTTATTTCTTCTTTTATTGAAGCAGTCGCAGTTTGTTCTGCAAAAGTGAGGGACTTCTTAATGTAGCATCAGATATCTAATCCCTGAAGTTGCTAGTGTGTTTGCTGACTGTGATGTAAGAGTGCAGAGAGAGGGGGAGAGAGAGAGAGAGAGTATAGAAACAGAAAAATGGACTTGCTATCCTGTTAGCGTAGTGGAAGTCTGATTTTGTTTTTGATTGTGGTGTAAAGTGACTGTTGAATTGTATCACCTTGAATATCTATATTACATCAAAAGGTTGACGTTTGATCCATTTTTTATGCCTACAGGTTGTTGTTGATGCTGTTTTGCTTGGCAAATTTCAGACCAAAATCTCTGAGATTTGGATGTATCAATGCTTTGGTTTGCTGCTGTTTCTTTGACCTCCATGCCGCTGTTTCTGTAATCTCTACATTGCTTTGCCCGCTATTGTTTTCCTCTCTATTTGTTTACCGCGCGCAGTTCAACAGGGCAAATGCAAGCAAGCCGGTGCTGCCGCTTACGGTTCTCATCTGCAAAGGATGAAGCGTTGGGGCAAATGGAACGACGAAAGAGTCACTATTCATTGAGCTGATATATTCATCGTTTGTTCTTCTCCACCGAGTTCTTTCCATGCCCCTGGCAGATGGCAGCGAGTCAAAAGGCACATCTCCGGAGTCCGTGTCGACGCATGGCCCATCACAGGGACACCGCCCAGCTGCTCCAACGCCACTGGGTCGATGACGACGAAGAAGAGTAGCTTTGGACGAGAGCTACGCTGTTGCGATCCCAGCGACGTGCACGTCGCTCTCCGGGCTGGGGCTGTTTTGTCACGGTGTGGGCATTGTGCCGTGTGGGGCGAGATGAGCGGAAGGCGGCCGCGTCTGAGTGGCCTGTTTCGACAGCCATGGCGTCACAGCCCACCACCCCCGCCCCGGAACGCACGCACAGTGACGGAGACACTACAGATGGAGACCAAATGCGCGATTGGAAATCTGCTTCCCTTACGTCCACAAATATGAGCGCACCGATTCCACCGACAGCGCATGGTGATTCGCGGTCGAGCACACAGCGGACGCCCCCTCCCTCCCATCGCTCTCCTACTAAACTAATGGCCACTTTGGCTTCCCCACCACCATCTTATCCGCGGATTCCTCATACTAATCTCTTCTCCTGACCTGGACATGTTGAATGATCACAGGCACCACCACCATCACGCCGCCGCCGCTGCTGGTGATGATGATCACGATGAAGGCCCCAGCGACGGCGCCGAGTTCCGCGACATCCACGAATTAGCTCCCCGTTCCCACCCCAGCCAAGGGCAGCGGAGGGAGCTGTGGGAGGGCGGCAGCCACCGATCGGCCTCCCTCTCCACCGGGAGCGACGCCGCCAACGACGGCTTCACGAGCGTGAGCAGGGAGTTCAGCGCGATGGTCGTCGCCGGCTCCGCCATGCACAACGGCGGCGGCAGCAACCACGACAACCACGCCGACGACGGGCTCCAGAACCAGCTCGCGCGGATCGGGGAGGACGAGCTGGAGGAGACGAACCCGCTGGCGATCGTCCCCGACAACAACCCCATCCCCTCTCCCCGTCGGCCGCTGCCTGCTGGGGACTCCGGCGCCGCCAACCCTGCCGACGAGGTCCCGGTGCACCTGGTGAAGAAGGAGGAGGTGGAGTCGAAGATATCGGCATGGCAGACGGCGGAGGTCTCCAAGATCAACAACCGCTTCAAGCGCCAGGAGGTGACCATCAACGGGTGGGAGAACGAGAAGGTGGAGAAAGCCACGGCCTGGTTGAAGAAAGTAGAGGTACGCTTCCCATCACAGATCCTCATGAAACTGGTCATCGAAGCGACCGAGATGATGCAGCTGCCACATGAACAGAGGAAACTGGAGGAGCAGCGGGCGAGGGCGATGGAGAAGATGCAGAACGACGTGGCGAAGGCGCACCACAAGGCAGCGGAGAAGCGGGCGTCGGCGGAGGCCAAGAGGGGAACCAAGGTTGCCAAGGTGCTGGAACTGGCCAACTTCATGAGAGCTGTGGGGAGAGCTCCGTCCAAGCGCTCCTTCTTCTAGGCAATACGCACCCCTCTCTCATCCCTCAATTCTGGCATAGGATTGCAGGAACTGAGAAAACCTTGGCATGTACACCAACTTGTTGCCAGCAGATTGATGAACAGAGCCATAATTGTTTTAAGTCTGTAGGCGGATTTGTGTTGTAAATTGACTCGGACGCTTGCGTTTCTTCCAGTGAGTATATGCTTCATCAAAGAGCTGTGTCACTTATCATCTCCTCTCCGAGTGTAGAGGATTCTGCGTCAGCTTTCATCGCAGGGAAGAAGTGGAGGATGAAGAGCTGGTGTCACTTATTCTGCAGTCTTAGCATCAGAAAAGGTTGCAGAGAGAACCAAGTGGCTGTGAACCATCGCAGCTCTTCCGGCTTGTCTCTGCAAGTGTTGTGCAGGAATTCGTATCTATTCTCGAGAAAGACGATGATCTATTTACCACTTGGATCCGTTTAAGCAGGTCGGTCAATGCAAGGAGGAAGTAGAAATCTAGCTGAGATCAAGATTGAAATATCATATAAATCAAAACACTGAACTGTAACAACCTGGGAAAGAACAAATCTAATAAACGAATAACGGAGGAGGAGGAGAAACATTTGTTTTAGATTACGAATGGGCATCAACTCCATCACCATCACCATCTCATTCGATCGATGAAATAGTTAATGATCGATGATAGTAGCAAGCAATCGAATCAAGGGAGACGAAGAAAACAAAAAAAGAATAATTACATTATTGTGGGTGAAACATAGCTGAAGTTTGGGTAAAGATGATACAGTAGATATAATTAAATTGGTAGCAACATGATTATTTTAGAGTTGGCCAACATCGATGAAGCCTAATTGTTTTGGTGAAGCTTTCGGGTTCCAGTTTGGCTCGTAAGTATTGGATCCGAAGCCATTCGGAGCTCCATCTAATAAGACCTGGTTTGGCGTGGGAATCGAGGAAGCAACTAATAATAATAATAATAATATTATTATTATTAATACGCGAAGAGGCGGACTCCCATCTCTCGATCGATCGAGGAATCCAATTCTGGTGCCACTTACCCAACTTCCTAAAGCGAATCGAAGCCATCGGGTGCTGGTGCCCCGACCTTCGATCGGCTCCGGGAGATTTTGGGGGAGGGTTTCCATGGTGGCTCATGTTCTTCCTCGTGGTTCTCTTCTGCTCGCTCGCCCAACCTCTCGACGGAGGGGCTCCCACGTTACAGGAACGGCACCACCTGTTGTCGGCCGGGGTCAGAGAACCGGCTGCAGGCCTAGCGGGCTAACCGTGCCTCGACAGGGTAGGGTTTCTGCGCTGGCGTTGCAGTCCGATGGGCTCTTGCTCTCGGAACGAACCAGCCCGGAAGAGGTACCCTTCTTCTCTCTTGACCTCTCCGTTCTGTTAATCGGAAAGATTTGTGTTAGAAATGCTTGTGATTGAATCAGCAATGGCGAATCCCCTTGCTCTGTGGATAGCGATGATGGATCATTCTGAACTGGTTGTTCTGTGCTTGTACAAAACCACCCTCCCGTTCTGTGTTCGAGGAAATGACTCGGACTGAGGCATGCCCACCAGGCAACGATTAGGTCTTCTCCTCAGTGCAGTATTCATGATGATTAAGAATTAGCCATAATCATGTATCATACATGGTCAACAATCAAACGTTGAGTCTTGTCTAACACAATTCTCAATTTACATAAGGAACTTTGACTTGTTCTTCGAGTCATGAAAGAAAGGGGGTTGATCCAATGCATGAGCTTGGATTGTTTAGTTTATGAGCCTCAAATTCTGCATAGAGTTTCTATGGTAAGGGCTATATTTGAGTTTCTTGCCATTCAAGCACTTGCTAGGTTTTGTGGACTCACTCCAATCTCCAGTTCATGTGATTTGGAAAAGCATCATATTCCGATGCAGTCTGTTCTACCTACGCGATAAGTGCATGCCAAACCTTTCTCTGTGTTTATGAAAAGCGAGCAATGTGAATTCCCAAAGTTCTTATGTGGAGGATATTTGTCGATTACAAACTATGGAAATGTTTATATGCTGGTTTATTGAAAGACAATAATAAAAAGAACAAGAAAACCAAGCTATTCTACAGATCCATATTTAGTATTGGCTAAATGGATTTTCCCTTAGTTTGGCTTTGCTTGGAACAAGTCCTCAAATAACTCGAGGACAAATTTCAATCTATATATCTTGCTGCAGATAAGTTGGCTCTTTCACTTTGTTATTTTTATCAACTTCCATGGTTTGCCAAGTCTACACAAGATTATCATCTTGGTTAGGAATAAAATTAAGAAATACTGGATAATTATCTATAGAAACTGATACAGGGTTGTGCTTTTCGTTATGAAAGGTGAAGAGGGAAATACAGAGATGCTATGGACTTGTTCACAAGCTCGGAAGGGGCGTAGTGTATCTTGGTTCATCGAGAGTGCAAGTGGGCCATCCACATTATGAGCAAGCGAAGCAATTGGCTAGAGAGGCAAGCTATTTTTCTTCTTCTAGATATATACATGTATATATATCATGGAATAGTGTAGAGATACCAGTATATTTCTTTAAAATATCGATTGCTAACTGTCGCAAATCAAGAATTGGAGGATTTGACATGCATTATTTTTTTGCTCTGTTGTTTGTTTGGGGACTATCGCTTGTGATGCGCATCCAATAAAACTTGACATCATGATTGTCTCTAAAGCCAACTGACAAAGACTTGGATTTTGTTTGTGTTCTCTTGCGTTCAAAGCTTGGCGCATAGCAAATTTACCATTCATGTGATCATCATGTATTTTCACATTTCACTGATTATCCTTGGATCTATTGCATACACAAGGGCAATCTTGTCATGTTAAGCTAAAGTTGCACACTGAACTGTGATGCATCCGCTAAGTTGCACACTGAACTGTGATGCATCCGCTAAGTTGCACACTGAACTGTGATGCATCAGCTATTGTGCAGGTTGCTCTACTTTTGGACTGCACTACATGGACCGGAGCTGGCCCTGGTCTCATGGATGCCGCCTTTAAGGGTGCTCTTGAAGCAAAGAAGCCAGTTGGGGGATTCAAGATAGCAAGGGAATCGGGCGAGTGGACGTCCTCAAACTTCCATCCCTACCTCCCTCCTGAAACATATCTCACATGCAGGTAGTATAGCTACATAACGCAGCCGAAAGTTCTGTCCCACTACAGTTGAAAGCTCACACTGATGCCTAAGGGAAGAGCAGGTTTTTCTCGGCGAGGAAACATGGACTGGTGGATGCTGCAGTGCGGAACAATCCATCCGACATGACGGCTGTTGTCGCCTTACCTGGTGGAATTGGAACCCTAGATGAGGTGTTTGAGATTCTTGCCTTGATTCAGCTGGAAAGAATTGGCTCCAAGTTTCCAGTCCCCTTCCTGCTTATGAATTATGATTCGTTTTACTCGAAGCTGTTGGATTTCCTAGACGACAGTGGAAAATGGGGCACGGTCGCAAGAGGAGAGGTTGAAGCACTGTGGAAAGTATGCGGTGGGAACTCGGAAGCCTCGGACTACTTGGCAGAATTCTATGGACTTCCTCAAACCAAAATGAATAACAACAAGATTAGTGTAGAGGGGAGTGGATTTATGGAGTGACTTGCATTGTTGTTGCACGAAAATGAATTATTAGTCTCTTTCTTTCCTGTAGTGTGGAATTATTATTTACTGGTTATATAGAACATTGCCTTTCCTTTAGAATGTGTCTTCACAGATGTCTTTACCAAACTTTCGAACATATTTATTAGTATATAATAATCTTTATGCATGCATATGCATTTGTTGATGTGGATGTGCATCTGAATGTTTATATCGCCTAGGTAGGTCTTCATATTTCGAGATGGGGTATGAGAAAAGGTCTGTCTTGGGTTGGACTCACATCGACGGTGGATCCAATTTTTTTAGCTCATAAATTAACGAACGAGACAAGAAAAAACTGTATGCCTCGGCCTACCTACCGAGGGGTACTCTGTTACCTTGACGACTACTGTAGTTCCTGATTAATAAAAGATTCTTTCCAAAAAAAAAAGGGAAAGAAAGAAAAATCGATCCGGTCACTCAAAACTCGATTCCAAATGTGAAAAACCAATGCATATAAGAATACAATCATAAGCAAACTGGAACAACATGTATTAGTTAATGCTGATGTTGTACGAAACCAGAACACGAAGTCTGACTTTGGGCTTTTTTTAGATGTGTGACAACAGAGGATGCCAACTTTCATGAGAAAGACCCCAGCGATAAAGGTTGGTAATGGTGCTGAGGGAATTCCAGAACACAGAAAAGTAGTAGCAAATGCACATCACAAACAAAGCCTCTCGCATTATAGAGAATCACAATGCCACAATATTTAACAGTCTTTATCATTTATAAGTAATATAGAGAAATGGAATAGAAATAGAAGGAGGAGGAGAAAAAAGAAGCACTGGCATACCTGATGTACTTGTAGGCGATAACTAACTGGAAGATAAATCGATAGACAAATTTTGTGGAGGAAAGACTTCAAAAACTTTAAAGCCTGTTTGATGATACTCGTTAAAGCAATTTCGATCTTTCGTCTCTCTGAAATAACAATAAACGTCTATTTGACCTGACGTCTGTATAAATCACGACGTTCTTCTGAATGTATTCCGTAATCATATTTTACATCTCGAATAAGACCTACATGTGAAATTTGATCCGTATCGCAAAACCTCGTTGTTTCAAATATCCCAATCTTATTTACTGAATGTCCTTCTTGTTAGCTCTATATAATTATTTTCCTGATGCATATAATATACCACGTAAGTTCAACCCGCAGATTGTTCACTTGTCATGAGCTTAGTTCTTGAAAATGGAAACAAAATAATCACTCTAAGTAGCAATTCCTGCACAAAACAGAAACCAACAGCCAATCTCAGGAACTCCTAATCATGCAGAACGAGAAAAGAAAATCTTCATACATACATACGTACATTTTCACACTAATTCTGCTCCACTCTTGATAAGAACATATCTAACAGGGACAATATGCAGGCAAGGATTCAGCTCTCTGTCAAAATAAATTGCAACATATTAGAATCTAAAAGAGAAACTTTTCACAGAAAAGCAATAGCAGTCGTGACCAAGTTTTCTGTATTCGGTTAATGGCCTAATTACATACTCAAAAGATATTTTGACTTTTTTTGTTTTGAACTTTCTCCTGACCAAATTCTGCCAATGTGAGCGAGCCTAAGTTTATTAACACAGCGACACAACCGTAAGAGCATATTATAATCTCATTTGATATTATCTATTATAATCAGGACAAAAAAGAAGCTTTGAAGAACCTAATTTTGATAGGCATAAGAACCATGTAGATGATAGATCTTCGAGGAACTAATAATACATGGCTTTTTTTTTTATTCTTACACACCTAGGAAATAAGAAATACAGAAACTGCTTACCTCTATTATTGCTGACATTATAACCAGCCATATAATCTGCAAAGCCGTTGCCTGTGACATCCGAGTTTGAATTATTGAGCTTGATACTAAAAGAACCAGTGGCATCAAATTCTGAGGATGATGATCCCCAAGTCGGGTCTCCATAAACCGAAGTAGCACCATATAACTTGGCGTAGCTTCCTTCATATCCCGAAGACGAAGCAATAAGATTAGTGTTAGGGGAAGCAGGAGCGATTCTTCTATCAAAACTGTTGCGACCCAAGCCAATATACCCGCCACCTCCGAACCCCAGATTTCCACTGGTATAGCTCGAGCCACTGCCCCGGTTCAAGTTACCGGTGCCAAGGCTACCGAGGCTCCCACTCCTAGACACCATGGATGCATTTGAAATTGCAGATTTTGTGGCATGGTTAAGGGCCACGTTTTCCCATACATTGCGAGATGTCAAACTGAAAAGTGAGCTAGTATTTCCATTAACATCATTATACGGAATGAGACTAGTGTACCTACTTGAATTTGCATTGTGGTAAGGATTCAAAGCCCGTCCGTATCCCAGATTATTATCGTAGCCTGGGTTTCCTACAAAAGTTGAGCTCAAAGGTGGCTCGTAATCCATTCCCATTCCAAGGCCAGGGCTAAGCGAAGCAAATCCATTTCTGCCACCAGCCAGGGAGCCTAATCTACTATCATCCAACCTCCTCATTCCGTACCCACTTACCGAGCTTGCATTGTATCCCTGAGTATACCCATTCACAAAGCTGTTTACTCGATTCAAACCATAGTTATATCCACCAATCGAGGAGCGCATGATGGGCCCTGGGGACGGCTCTTTAGGAACAGCCCTCTTCACCTCTACCATCTTACCATTCAGCTCGTGAAAGGCATTGAGCAATACCTTGTCCACAGCGTCCTCTGAGTCGTAAGTGATGAATCCGAACCCCCTCGGCCGTTGGGTGTTGTGATCATACATCACGACGACATCCGTGATGGTTCCAAACTGATCAAAGTACTTCTTAAAATCGCCCTCCGTTATAGTCGACGATAGGCCTCCCACGAAGATCTTCTTCGTGTGGCCAGGGACAGGAGATCCATGGATACTGCTGCTGCTGTTTTTATTGACGAATTGGTGATCATCCCTGGGAACAGCTTTCTTCGCCTCCACCTGAGAAATCGATAGAGAAGTATCATTTTGAGTTTAAGCCCCCCGAGGATTCGCACAACGGACCCAGGATTACGAACGTTAAAGCGCATTAAATGTGTGGCGAAGAATCGACGGGCTGTTGGAATGAAAAAGAAAGAGGGCAGAGGACAAGCGGTTACCATCCGACCATCGATCGTGTGCTTCTCCGTGACGACTCTTTCCGTGACCGCAGGGTCCGCGAACACGACGAATCCGAAGCCGCGAGCGCGGCCGGTGGTACGGTCCTTCATGATGACCGCCTCTACCACCTCTCCGAAGGCGCTGAAGTACTTCCGGAGGCTATCCTCATTGGTGTCCCACGAGATCCCGCCGATGAAGAGCTTCCCCAAATCCACCTCCATTCTCCTTCCTGCAAATGAGCCACCACAAGAACGATCATCGTCACCAGCATCATCCCAGCAATTTAAATAGCGAGGATCGTCGAATTCGAGTCGAAACGAGTAATCGAGAGTCAGATCCAATCTCGAGCGACAAATCACAGAACGATCAACTCAGAGTCAACAAGTCATATCCACATCCAAATAGATCGCAAGGCAAACACGTTATAAAACATCTACGAATCCGATGAACGAAGGAGACATACCTATAAGGAATCTCAAAACCAAGAAATCACGAGAAACCGACCGAAATCACCATCAATCGGATCGAAGGAAGGTCCATTGGATCGGAACCGATCGATAGGAATTCCACGTAGTATCGGGAGGGGAATGAGATAGGAATCGAATCGGCTCACCGATCTGGAGATTGCCACTTGCTGCCAGATGCGGATTGGATTCTAAGATCTGGGAGGAGGAAGCATCAAAAGAAGAAGAAGAATGAGAAGAAGGCATCACAAGGAAGCCTCTTCATCCCTCTTCCTCTCTCGTGTCTTCTCCTCCTCCCTGTAAATAAGTACTTATAGGCGATTTCTTATTCTTTGCCCGTCTTAAAGGTGGTAGGAAACCATGAACAAATATTACATTTTGGTTTATAATAAATGATGTTGTGACGTGGCATACGTCAACAGGTGGATGAGAGGAAACGTGATGGGGATTCCTTGGGGAGCACGTAGGTTTCCAACCCACAACTTTCTCAGCCTGCGTGGCTTTCCCTCGAGACCGATGCCTGTGGGCCCATGCGTACGGTTAACCAGCCATGTGAGACGAGTGGAAGTTTTGGGGAAAGTATGGAAAGAAGAGCACCCAGTCCTCGACTATCATTCATTTGTATGCATATGTTATTATGTATTTATACAAAATCAATTTTAGAGTAATCATTGGTTGCTTTAGTCTCATATCACGACGTGAATTTTCGAATGTTAACCACTATTTATTAGTCAATTAAATTAAAAATTTATAATTATAATGATGCAAAAATATAATAAATTTATCTCCAAAAAATTAGCCGTCATTTGGTCTATTAATTGATGAGCGAAAATTAAATTGCTGATCGTCTATTTTATATCATATATATATATTTTATTTTCTTTGAGTTTTTTTCTCTTTTTATATCAAGAAAAAATAAAGGCCACAAAAGAAAAAAAAGAGGATTGAATGATTAAACAGTGTTATATTTTAATTTTATTTGCGAATTAGTTATAATATTAGACATTTAAATTTTCCGCTGTTGTTTCGTACTCCCCACGAAGCCTCTGGCGGCGGGCAAAGCCTTCGTCCTCCTCCGACCTCCCATCGCCCCGTTCGTAGGCAAAGCCTCTCCCTTGGAAGTCTTGCTCTCGCGAGAGTCCCCGCGCGGATCTGTTCCGGAAGAGTGCCCCTACATGGTTTCATCTCCCTGGGTGCACGTGTCTACTTGAATCCGTGCCTCTTGGTTATTTCGGCGCCTATGCCTATCGGAGATCGATTATTGCGCTTCTTCTCCTCCCTCCTTCATTTGGGAAGATTCGAGATAGGTTCCGTCTTGGTCTCGTCGCTATTGCCCGCGCGATGTTCGCGGTAAGGTTCCAAAGGGTTCTTGCTGTGGAAGGGTCTATGGGTGCTGCGCTAGGGGTCTTGACACCGGATAGAGTGTGACCTTTTGGTGGAGCCTCTCAAGGAACAAGGGTTCATTTTGGCCACGCTTCTGGGTCCGTCTGCGTTCTTTTTCGACGGCGGAGATGGCCATCACTACATTGTGGCCATGGAAGGTACAGCCTGCCCTTACTGCTCACATGTTGAGTCCAAAAAATCGAATTTCTCTCTATGAAATCATATCTGGTTTTGCTTGCTGGTATGCAAATGAATGAGATTGACATTCTCTGTTCACGATTCATAGTGTCTCTCTAAGCGATCCGATTGGTATTTATTTATATGCCTAGTTTATCATTTATCTGTTTCTTTATTTGTTAGTGTATTGCGTCCCTTATGTCGGCAAATTGACAATACAAAGCAACAGCAACCGAGAGATCTGTTGTTCATTCTTGGATCACATGCAAACTTAGTGAAGAAGATGGTATGTAGACATTGTATTTTAGCAGTTTTCCTCGAGTTGTTAATCTGAGCCTTACACACTGTTAGATTAGTATTGCTCTTCTTGTTGTTGTCAACAAACAGTAATATCTGAGGGAGATCATCTCGTGCATACGATGGATCTTTTCGAGACAGATCTCAACTAAACAGGCTTACTACTATATTCTTCCTCTGGTTTCTTTCCTCCTCTGTTTGCTCTTTCATGTCTCATCTCTACTGCTGTACTCTCCCTTTTACTGTTGGATCCATCAATATGCTGTTTTCGGTGTGATATTGCATAAACCCATCGTAGAATAGGTTTGGCTTTAAAACCTTTGTTGTATCCTTATATGAGACGAGGACACATCATTTATTAAACTTAATGTTCTCTTAGTATTCTCAAAGGGTCTGTTCTCAAGCTCAAGTTCATCAATTAATTGAAATAATTTGGTTTATGATTGTGATGTTGGATGCCTTGACACGTTAACCTGATTATTATTATTATTATTATTATTATTATTATTATTATTGAGATCCAATCTACATGTGTTGTAAAGAAGCACAGGTGTTCAATTTGACTCCTATTATTGAAGTTAGGTCAAACAATATACCACTTATTCGCTTGTGGAACTCTAGTTTCATACTGTTATCTTAGTTTGTGAAAGATAATTTTGTTACGTAAAATTCATCTACTATATGGAATAGACATGTTTGCAATATAGAATCTGCTGTTTCAATTATTGGAGGAAGAACTCTCACAGGAGCTGCCCCTATAAAGCTTTTGCCACATCTGATGTCATAAACTACATGCAGATGCTTGAAGCTAACGAAAGAAAGGTTGGTAAAGTTCGATTTATACCAACAGACAGTGAGCCTGAAGAAGACTTGGATAACAAGTGCATGAACGGAGCGGTCTCTAAAAGAGTGGTTAATCAAAAGAGGCAAACTGCAGTGAACCAGACAAGCATGATAAATAGATTGAAGAGAGACTAGAAGATGGGTGTTCTTGTAAGACAACTTTACTAGAGAAGGAACTTCAGTGTGACGACTCCTTCATTCAAGCCATGGATGAGAAGGTAGATAGCATTGATCAAAGTAAATGTTAACCACACTACATTTCCAATGCTTATTCTTCTCAAGGCAGACAGAGAAAGAGAAGAGAGAAAAAGAAGTGCCTACAGGAGAGAGAGAGAGAGAGAGAGAGAGAGAAAGAAACAGGAAAATTTGTGGTTGGCTGGACAAGCAAGTATGACCACTTTTACAGGTGAAGAGAAGTGTCGACTTCTGTTTCATTGGACATCTTCATGCTAACATCACTGGACCACAAGCATAATGAGAGAGAGGTCTTAAACGACTGGATTTCGGTGCAGTTGACATGGTACTCAGCCTGAAGGGATGAAGAATCACACAGAGGCCTGGAAGGATGTGCCAGGTCACGGCAGAAGAACCACTTGGGTTGTTCAGCTTCAGCAATCATTCGCAGTATCCGCTTCTCCTCCCTCATCTCTTTGATTCGCTGCAACTGCCTGAACCTCTCTTGCAGCAATGCGATGGATGAGCAGCGGACTGTAGTATCATTACTTTGCCTTCCCATGGATCGACCGAAATTGATTCCACAATCGGGAATGGGTGGGGTTGTGTTGCAGTGGGAGTGATTTGTTTTTTTGGGGGGGATTTCACAGGGTGTCTGGGAGGGAGTCATGAATTTATAGGGAGCACGAGTTGTCTTCTTCCTTTCATCCATTGCATGTCTCCTTAGCACTTGGTTGATTCGGGACGAATGTAAAAGAGAGAGGAGAATCAGCATTGGAGGTGCAAAGTCCAAGAAGGCAAGGCTTTTGTGGCTTTCTAAGGAGTTGGGTTTGGTTAATTTGGATCCATGCAAAAAGACCTCTGAATGGGGAACAGGATCGGGAGAAAAGTCCAAAGGTTGGTGGATTTAGCATTTGGAGGGGCTTCTCCAAGGGAATAACAGGTAATTCTTACCTATCACTTTGCCATGCAGGAGATGGTACTTTTTTTGTTAGTGCTTGTAAGCGTGCTCTTGCAGGTACCCAAAGGTGGATAACTACTTCCAGACATGGTTATTCATGTCTTCCAGCTTCCATGCATTAAAATTTGAATGTTCTGGACGGGGCTAAGTGATCGTGAGATGTGTTGCAGGTTGTGTTCATATCCTTGATGTGTGAATATTTCCAGGCTTGCGTGAGGGGGCATTTGGTGGGGGAAACACTGGTGTTGGAAGGGGAATATATCTTGGGTCTGATGATGTCGTGTGGAGAAGAGTGCCTTAGGCTGTTCCTTTTCCAAATCTACGCACATCTTTTCTCCCACTTTATTTTGTCCGGTGTGATTGGATGGAAATGGCATGCAGCCTCTGCAGAGCTTCCTGGTGGACTGTGAAAACTAACAGGGCACCTGCTTTTCTATCTTATCCTGCCTCCATTCCATTCCTTATTGCCAATCTCAAGAAACCTTTGTGTTTATTTTCTTTTCAATCTCTTCGATGGGAGGCTTGGAATCCATCCACACTCTGATCATAGTCTTAGTTTGTGGATGTTGATCTCTTTTTCTTCTGAACCAGTTTCCTTTTGGCTTCGGTCGAGTGCAAAATGTGGTGCCTACAATGACATTTCAATGCTTCTCTCATTCATCTCATCTTATGATCGGATCTGTTTTGGGGTGTTATTAAAGGCCAACCTTTGGATGAAGATTTATGAATCCTTTAGGTTTTGATTTCTGAATTGCTGCAGGAAAAAGTGAGTGAAAATTTATTGCTTTTAACAGGATTGGACATCTGGCTATGGTCATATTCTTGGATTATCTCTAGTGCAATCAATCCAAATCAAATTTAGCTTCTTGATAAGGCAGAGTCCGCCCTAGAGGTGGAAAGAAGATTTGCTCAATTAGGGTGGAAACAAGTGGAAGATTACATGTATGCTTCACCAGATTTCTGTCCGACCAACTTGAAGAAGAAGAAGAAGAAGAAGAAGAGTTTGATACTTGCTTTGACACCTGAGCATGATGGTTGTGCATGCAGGTGCACTTCATCCTCCATGTAATTTGCATGTAGGATCTGATGCATCAAGTTGTGCCCGTGCACTTCTTCCTCAGGTGCTCTTCTTTTGTCTCTGATTTATGGATCGGCTCGGCCTACCACCAACACATCTCCTCACCAGGTTGTAGTTTTGGGTGCAGCTCAAAGGTAATCCAGTTCTGTTTGGTTGTATCACTTTGGATTCATTCACATGCATCTTTGTTGAAAGGTGGATTCCAGATCAAGACTTAGCTCTTCTTATCTGTGTTTAAATCAGGTCTTAATCTTTTTCCATCTTTAAATATGCAGTACATTATCCATGCGTATCAGATGCTAACTATGTTATTTAAGCTCTAATATTTTGGCTCTAATTTGCTTGCATTAATCTTCTTCAACAGATTCTTAGTTTGTTCTGTTCCCGTGTTATCGTTGTTATGTTCTTGCAGCATATATAGATGTGAAGGCCTTCGACACTTGCACTAAGTCGACCATTAACTAATAATATCAATATTACAGTACAACACAACACATGATGGCTCGATTGCAGCCTCCCTTCATGTCCCGTTACACCCACCATTTTAGAGGAAGACGACCGACAACGACGACGTCAATGCACGCGGGAAGGCAGCGGGAGATGATCACTTGCCGGGGACGAAGTTGGTGGCGTAGGCCCAGGCGTTGTTGGCGACGGGGTCGGCGAGGTGGTCGTAGAGGTTCTCGATGGGGCCCTTGCCGGTCACGATGGCCTGCACGAAGAAGCCGAACATGGAGAACATGGCAAGGCGGCCGTTCTTGATCTCCTTCACCTTGAGCTCCGCGAACGCGTCGGGGTCGTCGGCCAGGCCCAGGGGGTCGAAGGCGCCGCCGGGGTAGATGGCGTCGAGGCCCTCACCCAGCGGGCCGCCGCCGACGCGGTAGCCCTCCACGAAGCCCATCAGCACCACCTGGCAGGCCCAGATGGCGAGGATGCTCTGCGCGTGGATCAGGTTGGGGTTGCCCAGGTAGTCGAGGCCGCCCTCCGAGAAGATCTGCGCCCCGGCCTTGAACCACACCGCCTCCCCGAACTTGACGCCGTTCTTGGCCAGGATCTCCGGGAAGACGCACCCCAGCGCCCCCAGCATCGCCCACCGCCCGTGGATCACCTCCAGCTCCCGGTTCTTCGCGAACGTCTCCGGGTCCGCCGACAGCCCCGCCGTGTCCCACCCGTAGTCGCCCGGGAACTCGCCCGTCAGGTACGATGGCGTCTGCTCCGAGAAGGGCCCCAAGTACTTGGGACGGTCCGGCCCGTACCTGTCAAAGATCGGTGGAACACCAATTCATTGGCGGAAGAGAGAGAGAGAGAGAGAGAGAGAGAGAGAGAGAGAGAGAGAGAGAGAGAGACGACGACGACGA